AAAAAAAAAAAAAAAAAAAAAGAAAATAGTAGACGTAAATGCGAAGTGGAAAAGATAACAATTGTCTAATTTCTGATAATTATTATTGTAAATTTTAATTGGTAAATAATATTCGAAGCAAATATTTTATTTTATTTTATCATCGTGGAAGGAACATTGTGCTTGTGTGGTAATATGTAAATATGTAATTGAGAGGGAGAAAAGACATTTGTTTTAAGCGATTAGTAATTAATAATTATTTCATGAAACGATTTAATTAAATCAAAGTTTGTAAAAGTATTTATTTTTTACAAATATTCAACGAATCAGATATATATATAAATTTTTATTTGATCTCGTGCTATTATATTCAATAGTTTAAATACAAGTATTTATTTTCCAAGTTCGTCAAGTTTACGAGTTGTCGTAATATTTATTTTTTCAGATGCTCGTCGAATATGTTATATGTTGATCGATTTTACGGCAAACGGTCTAAAATCTGCACTGAGCGCCCGGGAGAGCGAGTACCTGTACGAGAAGATTAAATCCAAGTACGATCGTATTCGATACGAGCATTCGCTCGCTTCGCAGAAATATATCTCGCCGGAAATTCAAGTTGAGAACGAGCATCCCATCCATCGACCCCACAAAAGTATCTCCAAAAAATCGAAAGTCTATTTGGCCGATGATATGATGGGGTCAGTGAGGAAATTTATCGAATTTTACCGAGCGATACAAATATTCTTTTAAAATGGCGTTAATTGTATTTAGAAATAAGGAGAGGATAAGGAAAAAGCACAAGGATCGAATCACGTTGTCCAAGTCACGTCATCTTCGCAGCAGTATGAAAGATATCTCTATGGGTGATTGCGCGGAAATCTCCAAACCGATCTATTTTTATCCCGAAAAATTGGACGATTTTCAGAAATACGTGAAGACAAGTTTGTCTGGTTTGAAACGCGATAAGAATTTAGAGAATTACACGCTTTTGATCAGGTATATAATCATAATATTATCGAACTTTTACTCGTTTCTATTTATTTTTTCCTATTTTTACGTTTTTTTTTTTTTTTTTTTTTTTCGTTTATCGTTTAAATATATAAAGCGAAGTTATCGACAGATTTTGTATATCCAATAGACTGTAATGTAATGTAATTTTTGATTTCCAGCAAGGTGCCTCTATCGGTAAAAATGGGTCGCTTCTCTTCCGGCAAATTTTTCCGGCAACAGAAGAATACGTGACATCACATTGGCATCCCACTTTCACCGTTAGATCAAATAGAGTCTTTGGTAGAGTTTTGTCAAAGTTTTTGGTAGAAACTTGATCATGTGATGTGTGTTGAAGTTAATATGGTGTCACGTGTTCTCATCCTAACGAAATTCGCCATTTTTAACGGTGGCAATTCTAATTTGTAGTAAAAAAAGAAATAAACATTCGTATACAGATGATTTTTATCGTCTTTGTTTCATTCGTTGCTTTGATTAAACTGTTGATCTTTTGCATGTACGAGATTACTTCTATTTCGTCGCAAAAATTATTTTCCTCTCGAGAAAAGAAATTGTAGTGCAAGAGGTTAACACGTGAAAAAAATATATAAACGACAACAACGAGATCGCGGGAGATTGGCATTGAAATTCTTAATTTCCGGTGAAGAATAAATGAACGCACAAATTCAATTTCAGTTGATGAATATAACTTCGTTCTAAAATTCGTTCTTTTACAGTGGCAATCCACAACAAATGGCGATATTCGATCAGAAGTTCGATAAGGAAGACATGGTGATTGTTCAAGATCCGTACATGAAAGTGGAGTACAAGGAATGCGGCACTTCCACCGACAAACTGTCGGCGAAAGTGGAAGCCTCAAGCTCGGACCAAGAGGGACCAACTAGAGATCTTAACGAGAATGTAATGGATACCCAATAAATTGAAGAATTTATACGATTTCGTTTCGAAAAAAGAAAAAAAATAATTTAAAATATTTTCTAATAATTTAACAATTTTTATAATTCTATCCTATTTTCCTTCTTTGCATGTAGGACATGGAAACGTACATAAAGGAGATTGAATTCAGCTCGATTCCGGAAAACACCGGATCGAGATATTCCATGAACAAGTTGTTGTATCAAACAAGCCAATGCCAATGTGAACAAGATTGTTGTAGATCCAACGAATATTCTTTCGGATCATTGAATAACAAGGCAGCTATATCAACGCAGTATTTGTCCGAGGTAAAAAGAAAAAGAAAATACGTTAAAGTAAATGAAACATTGTTATTAACAGGTGGCAAAAATTACATAAGAATATCATAATTCCATAAAGCATCATTTAAGATCGTCTCGAAGCTCGATGAATCCAAAACTGCGCAAAGTGTCACAGGAGAATGAGAATCTGTACACATCTATCGATTGCAATAATCATATGGATGCTTGTCCTATGAAGCACGTTAATTCGAACACTCGAAGAGTTGATTTTAGAGAGGATGAAATACACGAGCATAACGAAGCATGCATTGAACAGGTATTACGTTAATTGGCTCACGAGAGATGATATTTAAATATGACTTTCTCTTTTTTATTTTTTGAACAGAAACAAGCGGAGAATAGATATTATGAAAATATCAAATTACGGAAAAAAAAGTCTAGGAACAATGAACCGTCGAGTGGTTTCTGTTGCAACGATTTTTCATACCTCACTGATCGAGGAGGAGAAGCTGACGACGAAAATTCTCAACAAATGGAACGGCCGACTCGAAAGCACTATCTCGATGAGAAACCTCAAAAAGAGAATACTTTGTTGGAAAGTTCGGACGAGTCGATTTTGGATTACTGCGAAGGACTTGACATGGAGCCTATCCTGAAAAGTATGTTTAAAAATTATAAGTTGCATATTTCGCAGAAACTTCGATATAATAATAAATTTTATATTTCTCGCGTATATCTTTTCTTTTTAAATAAGTTTTCAAGAACACGTTTGATTTATTTATGCACTATATTTGAACGATTCGTGGAATATCTTTGAAAGTTGAAGTTACTAAAACTGTAAAAGTTATGTTAATCTCTTCGATATTTCAAAGAAAATTTATCTACATATGCGCAAAAAAGAGTTTTCATTAAAAATGAAATGAATGAAATTTGAAAGTTTAAAGAGAAAAAGAAAAATCAAATAATCCTCAAAATCTTGCGAAATTATTAAAAAAGAAAGAAATCATATGAAAGTAAAAAATTCGAAAATTCACGTTCCACGATGAATATTCAACGAACAAAATTATCATCGAATTATAACTATTATAATTATTTTTAATGATCCAGATCGATTTAAACCGGCCCTGCTACGAGCGGTGAATTGGATCTTCGGTGGTTGCCCGGAAGCATCGAGAAAAGCGGCGTTGAAACGCAACAAGATCGAAAAGGAAGAGAACCGAGAGACCGACGAATGGTTCCTGTAGTCAAGGGTATTGACTACCTCGTTTCACAAATCGTTTCACACCGTCGGCAAAATCGTGGTTCTGTCGCATCGAACATTATCCATTTCATATAGTACATCCCATCGATCGTTAAATTTGCGAAGTTTATCCACAAATTTAAAAAAAAAAAAGAAAAAAAAAAATTTTGTTCGTCTTTAATTTGAATAAATGTGGGTTTATCGTTCCTCCCTTCGCGTTGCTTATCTTAACAGGATGCGATCCGGAAAGCATCGTTTAAAACTCGAAATAACGACCAAACCGTTCGTCTTTCCGCGAATCCATTAATTCATAAACAGATTTTCTCTGGATTCCTACCGCGCATCCGGAAGTGCGCGAATCGAAGAAATCGTTCCACGAGGCATTGATTCATTTTACGAGGTTGGCCGTGGCACGTTCTCCAAGTTAATATTTACAATAGTATTTAAACTGTTTATATATTCGTGGAATACCTTTGCAGGATCGATTCCAGAGATTTGAATAGAGAAAACGTGCAAAAAAAAAAAAAAAAGAAAAGAAAAAGAAACCGTTAGAGCTTATTCATCAAGTTACGAACAATTGAATACGAAGCGAGACGCGAATAGAATGAGATATCCCTATCTCCGTTCCACCACCGTCTCGCTCCCATTCCTGTCTCGCTTCATCCAATCATGCCCCCGACTTGATAAATTAAATGCCTCAACCGACATTTTTCCCTACACCAACTTTCGCTCGTTTCTCTCGAAACTGTTCCACGAACAATATTAACACCCTCTACATAATATTTCCCTATATATAACATTCCCAGAGACGAATCTTTGGACGCGAAGCCTTTTTGGCTTAAGGAAACGCGTGTTACCGAGTTTTCGAAACGGGCGACCTTCTCTTCCTCCTCCTCCTCCTCCGCCGTTGGTGCGCGCTCCGCCGCTGCCGGAAGTGGATATCGCGTGTATATACGTGGCTTAAGAGCAATAAAGGAGGGCCGGACTCGCCGAGCCGCCAAAAGAGAATGGGGAGAGACAGTCGTGCGGAGACCAAGAGCCGCGTCGGATCACGCAACGGAACCGCGAAATTCTCAGGAGCCACGTGACACGCGACAGAGGAGGCGAAGGAGGAAGAGGAGGACGATCGATCGTTTCCCTGTTTTTCTTTTTTTTTCTTTTTCTTTTTTTCTCTCTCTCTCTCTCCTCCCCAGTTTCGATAATAACTAAGCCGCTTGGATTTCTAATATCGATCCCTTCCGCCCTGTTTCGCGCGGTTAACCGCGCACCTCGCCTCCCTTCCGCGAGGGGAACCGTAAAGGGAACTTGCAACCCCCCCGATAGTAGGAGCGAAAGTATCGTCGCGAGTTCACGTGTCACGCTCCGCTCTTTTTTTTTTTTTTTTTTTTTCCCTCCTTTCTCCCGTTTGGAAAGAAGAGTTTAAAGAGAAGTCGTCCCCGCGATGGCCGGCTGTTGTGCGAGTTGATAGAAAGTGGTATAAGCGGCGTGGAATGCTCGAGGAACGGTACATCGGTGTGTTCTAAACGATTGGTGAGTACGCAATGGAATAAAAATAACGCCGATATTTTTCTCGCTCTTTTACCTGTGCACTCGATTCGTAAACAAGGCTTGATTTATTGGATATATCACAAAACTTAATCGACCCTCCTTTACGCCCATTTTTCGTAATTTATTTTATTAACCAAATATGAAATTTTGTTTGCAATCTAAATCTACCGATCTATCGATCGTTGTATTACGTATAGTTTATCTATCGTGTATCCCATACTGATATTGCAATTGCAATTCTTTTTCTTACTTTAGTTCAAGGGAGAATCCGGTTAAATTAAAGAATTAGGCGGAACACGTGAAGAACACATACAAAGAAAATCGGGTTGAACCCGGTTTCTGAGTTTATCCGACTCGGTTTAGATTCGCGACCAAAACACGGTCAGTCGAGCCTATCGGCTCGGTTCATCCGTAACGCGGCTTACACGCAGGGATCGGTACATTGTTAGACGCCGGAGTAAATTCCTTGAATTCCACGGGACATGTGCGAACTGTTCTATTAATGTACCCATCACGGGTTCCCTTCTCTTTCCTCGGACGACCACGGCCGCGCACGCACCTCGATTCCCGCTCTTTCTCCGCTGCTGTTTTCTCCACACCCCTCTTCCCCTCCCACCTCTTTCACCCGGCGCCGCGCCGATGGAACAGGAGAGCCACGGTGTATTTAAACTTTCGTTCGAAGGGGAACACGAGGCGAATGCCTCGGCCCGGATGCACCCGTTCTCGCCTCGATGAAGAAGACACGGGACACCCGGTAAATGGGAACTCGCGTTTACGATATTCGTGAACGTCGAACGCAGTCTCGAGGATGGAGGAATGTGGAGAGATCGGTGATTGGACGAACGAGAGGCTCGATAATTTTCTCTCTCTCTCTTTCGTGTATCAAAAAACGCGCAATGTTTTTCTAATTTGTTTTTTTCATCATTTTTGTCTCGATTGAATTTTATTTTTTTTTTTAATATCGCGGTAAAATTTTAAGGATTTTTTAATTATTAGATATACATCTTATATTTCAATGAAGTTTGTACATCATTTTTTAAAGAAGTTAACTAAAAGAAGATCAGTTACTAGATCATAAATGATTTAGTGTTTTATATTTAATTTTCATAGTATCTAAATTTTATAAGTATATAAAAGTTGTACTAAATGGTACGATAATAGTGCATGCACTATTAAATTATATTTTTGAAACAAAAATCTTTTGTAAATATTAAAAGTAATCTCTTATAATATTTTAAAAAATTAATAAAATCTTTCAAAATCTTATTTAAAGATAATCAGTATAAATTTCGATGTTTTTATTCGAAATTCCGTATGATTCTTTCAAAACGATGTTGTGCAGATACATTTTTCTAGCCTTTCTCGCCCATTTTTTTCTCCCATTTAGATTCTACGATTCCACGAAACCTGAAATAATATAACAATTTTCTGTCTAACAGATTTTCCAAGTTACAAATATTACTTTACTTTTCCTATTTCGTTAAAGCAACGCGTATAATATCTAAACTAGTTGTTTACAACTTTGATGCTAAATAATATTCAAGCACTAATATCCACAGATCTTTAAATGAGTTAAATTTGTTTATCGTTGCTAGCCGATATCGAGCCTATATATTATTAACTGGCCGCTCTCGAGACCACAAATTTCGACAATGTTTTCCTTGGCAGATGCGAACGTTGAACACCGGTCTACCTGTGTCAGTGTTCGAATATTTTATATATGAAATTCGGAAACGTTATCGGCGACCGTGGAAACCGGCCAAGGAAAGATGTAACCGTGACAAATTTTTCCTTGGTCCTCGGCCACGCGTGCGGAAACCGCATAAACACGTCCCTCGTTTCTTCTTCGTTCCTTCTGCCTTCTTCTTCCCCATTTCAATCTCGAGTTACACAGTTATGTTACACTTTGTGCAGTGACAAATGCGCGGAGTATGACGTCAAATGCAATTAGAGGTATTCGGAGGAAGAAGAGTTCGTTATGCGAGGTGAAGGTGGCTGTGATTGGAGCGCCAGGTGTCGGCAAAAGCGGTGAGTATTACGTTTTGTCACGAATCTTGCTCCATCTCTTTGTTGCATTGCATCTTTTGCCTCGGATCGAAAGAAACGTTCACCTTTTTTTGATTAAAATTCAACGTATTCTCATCTTTCGAAATGTTTGAATTTTTTTTAGGTATTTTATACTCTTCTAAAGTTAAAAAAATCATATATATAAACTTTTCAAAGATCGAAAAATACATGTTATAATTAATTTGTGTAGTCTGATAAAGATAAAAAAAGTTTAGATACCTCGAAATGTTAGTTAGGATATATTAATTGAAATTTTTTTAATAGCGTCCAAAACATAAAAATTAGTTATTTTTATGTTAACGTATTCGTGCAAATTTCGATACACTTTTATACGTTTCAATGGAAGCCACGTTTCGGTGGAATTGTTGAAGAGTAAGAGGAAAATAGGGAATGTCTATTTTTGATTGGTGGCTGAAAGAGACTATATTTATATTTCAAAAATTGAAGAAAGAAAAAGGTAGTATCAGATTCCAAGATACATCATCGTTTTAACTTTAAAAACTGAAAAATTTCTTTCCTTCAAATTCGTTTTCTTCATCTTCAAAAAGATCGAGAAATCACCGGACTAAAATCGAAATTTTGATTTTCTCAATAAATTTGCTCAAAATATTTCCCGCTCTTTTTCTTTTATCCACAAGTTATGTAAAATCCGCTTTTACTTTCAGCGCTGTTATTTTGTTTTCATCGGTGCTTATAACGCGAGCGTTTTCATCTGCATTTTCACTTGACTCGCTTTCGTGAGCATGCTAATGCACGTGGTAACACTTAATTTTGTTTTTAACCACGACGATAACGAGCGTGACATTAACCATAATCTTCTCTGGATACAATATCTTGCAAACTCGCAGTCAGAAGATTAATTCGACTGAAGAAACGTTCTAAATGGCAAATGATCGTCCTTCGTCAACAGTTTCTTGCGATGCATATGTGTTATCATTATATCCGTATCTTTGCTTTGTAATATCGAAACGTATACGATATTATGATTGAAATTTAATTTGATTTTTCTCTCAAAGGAAAACTTTCGTCTTAGTGTTAAAATACCAAATTGTTAACGTTGACGTATGTCATTCATAAAAATCTTCATTTGCCTAAAAAAAGACACCATATTTTTTATAGAAAATTTTAAAAAAATGCACAAAATATGTAAAATTGTATAAAATATTCAAATATTTTTTGAAACAGCTGATAACGAAATAACCCTTATTATTTTTTAGTGCATAATCGACTTTGTAATGAATTTTTACAATTTTATGAGCTTCGTAAATGTAATTGGTTCATGAATTACATATATACATAACATTAACAAGAAAAATCATAAAGTAAGAAATGAAGTGATCAGAAATAAAATAATCACACATTTTAAGTTTTCGTTTATTAATAGAAATATTATTAACGATAAAACGATTAAATTATTTCGAGCAAGAACGATCGAAGAAAAGAATCTCGAGTCCAATTAATTCAAGTACACATGTCCACGCGATAGATGTGTGCACGATAAACGTGGTTAGGACCCTGAGAGGAGCCAACCGCGCGTATTTTTGGTAATGGCACGTGTGAGGCATAGGTGAGTACATAATCGGTTAGGTCTCAGCAACGTTTCACACTCAAAATATTCAATATAATTTAACAAATTTTATTTATCGAAATTCCTTTCGATCGTCGTTTCACTACGAGCTATTAGATCCTCGTATCAATTTAAATGTCTTTAAATAAAATAAAGAGACAAAAAGGAAACGATGATATATATATATACATGGTTTCCTATATGATTCAACGTTTTCGTACGAGCGTATTTTTAACTCGAACAAATAATTGCTCGATTCGTTGAAAGAAATAAAGGAATAAAGGCGATTCGTGTATTTGAGAATGATTCGTGCGAAGAATTGGCACGAGAATCGAACTTTTAATGATCCGTTCGAGGGAAAGCGTCCAAATGATGCTGTTCGAATCCTTCGAACGTAAATACATCATCGAAACGAAACGAATTTTCAAATGGTCCCTGTCAATCACAAGATAAAGCGTATCCGTAAACATTTTACATTTTGAAAATTTGCACTCAAATTTGATTTTTGCTATCTCGAAAAATCGGGAATATTTTATTTTTATCAATCAATCAGCTTCGCCTCGATGAAAAAAATCTTTCTCCTTTTCCTCTTGGAAATTTGCGCATCGATATTGCCAATACACCGGCCTCGATTCGAATCATTGTCTTCTCGAAGGTTGCTCGAATGAAACTCGCCCGCGTGGCGCTTATAAAGCGGGTCAACTTTACATTGTATTTAAGACGAAACACACCATGGTGACGTTTAACGTTGGTGCAAGGTTTTGTGGCGCCGTGGCAGGTTCGAGTTCGAGGTAAAAATAGTGTGGTGTGCCTCGAAGCGGGTCACTAGGTTGTAGCTCTCGTTTCTCTCGATTGGATCGCGATATGTCGGAGCGCGTGGTATCGTATCGTGCAAGATCGCGTACGTTTTCGCGATATCAGAATGGAAATTGATTTTGCTCCCTGGAAAATGGAGGAAAAGAGCTTGGAGGCTCGAAAGCTTGGTTATTTGTGTAAAACATACGTAAAATCAATATCCATGCGATGCTTCGAAAAAAAAAAAAAAAGGAAGAAAGAATTATTTGTATTTTTTTTTTTTTTTGCAATCAGCTTGCCCCCCAAATAAATAATTCGAGCCGATCGAAATAGGACACACGATTCTAAGAAAATGTAGGTTGATTACTTTCTAACCCATGTGTGTGCATGGCATTTGTATTGACGAATGCACAATCTAATACATGTCACGCTCGTAAACGTCTGTCACGTTTAGATGAACGGAATAAAATCCAGGTAGAGTAGAAAAGTTGAATATGAATACTAATAAAAATAAAATCGACTCGCGTGTATTGTTCCTCGTAACGTGTATACACCTTTGTAATTCACGATCTCGTTTTCTAATTAAATAAAATGTATAATGTAACTAATGATTTATTTAAAAAAAAAAACGTTTCAATAACGCGTGTGTTCTTCTTAAATTTCAGCATTGACAGTGAGATTTCTAACGAGGCGGTATATCGGGGAATATGATCACCAGTCAGGTAAGAGACATCTCGATTTACAATTGGCGGCGTGCTCGCGATAAGATGCGGCCCCCTCGATGCGGTATAAATTACAATGTGAATGGTACAATAGAATGACGCATTTTTTTGAAAAATTGCCAGCAACTGGTGTGCCACCTCGGGGACCGTGTACACTCGGCCTGCGCATACTTTGGTCGTCCGCGTCTGATCTAAATTTATCGAAGACGAATTTGACACTAGAGACAGAACGGATACTAATGCGAGGTTGATATTCGAAGAAAAACTTCTTCTTTTGTACAAATAGAGAGGCGCGGGTAGGGGGAGGGAATAAGCGGTTTCCTCTAGCGAGCACGTGCTTGAATCGGGATCTAAAACTAGAATGTACTGGAAAGATCTACTTAACGGCCAAGACGGTTACCTGATCTCTCTGTTGCAACGAGTTTTAGCGGTGAAAATTTATTACGTAATTTTTCCTCGTCGCATCGAGGATGTCGAGCATCGAATCGTTGTGTACATGTCTATAACTTGTCATTGGTATTAACAAATTTTCCTTTCTTTCTGCCAATTTTCATTTATTCTATTTTCTTCTTTTTCTTCTTTTTTTTAGAGAACAGATACAAACACGAGGTGTTAGTCGATGGCGAGCCCATCCTTTTCGAAATTTTGGACACCTGCCCGAAGGTAATGCTTTTATCGATGATCAAAGAGATTCGAGTCAAGCGGTTTCATTAACATCCGTTTACAGAGCGACGACGAGTTACCTTCTACGGAAACTGTACAATGGGCGGATGGATTACTTTTAGTTTATTCGATAACCGATAGAGGCTCTTTCAATTTCGTGAGAAAAGCGAAAGAAACTCTTGCGGTGGTTGATCCCGAAGCCGCTATGCCTCTTGCCTTGGTCGGGAACAAAGCCGATATGGTACACTTGAGACAAGTTAGCACCGAAGAAGGAGAAATACTGGCGAAGGATTTTGAATGTTGGTTTAGCGAAGTATCTGCCGCGGAGCAGGTATGCTTTTCTAATTTTTGTTATCTAAATGTAAGATCTTTTTTTATACGTGGACATTATTGTAAACACTGTTTCTCCAGGTCACACAAGTTGCCGAATCTTTCCACGAATTGTGTCGAGAGGTTCTGGCAGCAAGAAGAAGGAATAAACAATCTTTATTGGATAGAATGCTTGGTAGCAAAGCAACGCGTGCTTATTCACGAGGTAAAAGTGATTCAGCGCTTCCGAAAGATTAATATATATATATATATATATATACATATATATAAAATTATACATTTTTACTTATACGTATATCGTTTCGTACAATTTATATTATATACAAATTTTATAAAAGAATCGTTTTTAAGAAAATTTACGATGTAATCTTATGGATCAAAAGTAAACAGCACATAGTTTATTATATATGTGTGTACTCGATATTGAAAGTTTAAGTACCAAAGATTTATGTAGCATTGTGTAATAATGTTTTTGATTTATATGATATTATACTATGTAAATGATATGTAATACATAAATTTTAGAGATTCATATTTCAATATTTTATCAACGTATAAGAAAAGAGTTTTTTAATACATTCTTTTTTTTTTACGGATGGAAAATTTTATAGTTTTAGTATGAATTAATCTATGTAAAAATTTAATGCAATATATAAAGTATTTAAGTCAAAATTTCATATTTTATCATGTTATAACATATAAAAATTATATAATTTGTTCATTCTTTAAGGCTGGTTACAATATGTAACCTATGTGAGTATAGATTAGACAGATATAAAAACATAAAATAATTAATCTATATTTATTTTGTACTTATAATGAAATTATGACAATAAATATTTTACTTATTTATTATATCACCGTGATATGTAACACTAAAAAATCTTAACTTCAAAATAGAAGATTTTTCTTATTCAATAATATTCACGTAATAAAACATTTTTAGTTCTCTTTTAACACTTAAGTGATAGATTCATTTTATATATAAAATTAGAGAAATATTTATTTTGTATCATCATATGTTTCTAGAACATCTGCTAAATGTTCATTATCTCTTGGTTTTTTAAATTGTTTTCTTTTACTAATAGGTTTCTTTCGTTTAATCGGAGCAGGTTTTTTAGGACCATGATCTTGCATGGATCGTATTCCTTGTTTCTCTAAATACTCATCGATTTTTTGATCGTCCATTGCATCTACTGCAACGGATCTCCATAACTTTTGAAATTCATCATCTATTGGAAATTGTGCAGTCTTATCATTATAAAATACTATCTTTTTTTTATCTAAAGGTCTTGTTATAAATAATATTTCATTTTGTAGACTCTGAAATTGATAAATTCTTATAAAAATTGCTGTCATATTATATCATATATAGTATCAGAACTATATCGCATTTCTATTTACCTTTAAATGTTTATCACAGTGAGGCAGACTTTCTTGTATATCTTCTAATAATATTCCACCAAGACCTTTTAAATCTTGTTGCTTTAATAATCTTAAGAGAGATTTCTTATCTTTAATTTTATACATAGCTTTAAATACAAATCTACCATCTGAAGTTACTTCTATCTTTGGGTTTTTAACTAGAGCTTCCGTTTGAAGCCATTGTTTCACCTGATATAAAGTTTTGTATTTTTATATATTTATATGACATTAATATATCATCATATTTACCTTTGATCCAACATCTAATTGATTTGTTTCATCTAAAATTTCTTCTAATGTTAAAGGATGATCATCTCCTTCTTGATGCCTAGCTTTCATATGTTTTACAATTTTAGCTAGAACACCAAATTTATATTGCGTACTACCAGACATAGTTTTGTAGTTAACCATATCCAGTTTTGGTCCATTAGACACAGAGGATGGTTTAGGTTTTTTCTTAAATGGTTCATCTCGTATTAAATCTTTGTCTTGTTCCTTTCTCTTCTTTTCTATACTGCAAAAATAAAGCTTATTACTTGCAGTATTGCATCAAAGGTTATGTTCGTACAGGTTATGTTCAAAATTTATACTTATAATTCAATCGAAATATTTAGATTAAATTCCGAATATTGCAATAATAGAATGTTTTATATTTCATATATATTTTAAAAATATTTTAAAAATAATTTCTATTTTTTATAAAAATAAGTATGTTTCTATAAACTTAGAGGTTAAGTGAAAAAAACCATAGATAATATTTACGTTGGTGTAGTAAGAGCTTTTTTTTTAAAGAGCTCTCGTTCTCGGAGTAATGCTGGATCCATTGTATTATAAAATTTAAATTATATAAATTTTAAAATTCTTTTTTCGTATATCTTAATGAACTGTCACTTTTGCCACATTCTAAACGGATACTCTACCAATCAGAGATTCTCAGTTACTGTACTCGGTTACTGTTATATACATGCATCCAAGTAAACTTTACTGCGCATGCGCATGCGCCATGTTTTCGATTAATCGTTTCATAATTGAATTATTGAATCGTTTGACGATTTCAAATATCGAAATACGGTTGCACGAATAAAGTCAAACGGTACGTTAAGTGAAACGTGTGCAGTGTCTATAAACCGAAAAAATCGTTTATAAATTATATATTTATAAATTATATTAAATTATACATGACTTTTGTTTCTGTGAACGAGTGAACATTGATATTTTTCTATTGTGATAATCTTATTTGTATAAATAAGATATTCGTGATTCGATCTCGTGAATCTCTCGATTTCTCAGCTACGCCATTACATTTTCGATGAAATCCAAGCTTTAAAATTTATAATTTGAATTCGATATTGATCGTTGCAATGAATTTATTTTATGATTTTACCCAAGTGTGAAAGTTTTCCATGATGAATAGATAATAATTCTCAAACTTGTTCCTCTCATCCTGATATTTATGATATTTTATGACCTATACAATTGGTTTCCTTTGTTTCGCGATTTTACGAACGCCATCAAAAGGATAAAGCAACCACGGCTTCAAAAGCAGTTTCTTCCACATTGTTCTCATTGCTTAAGGTAGAATTTTAACTTTTACATAAAACGAGGATTGACGTGTTTATTTTATCACATATTATACGATCGTTCTATTTTATTTACGCTTTATTTCTATATAGTCCATATAAACTTTCATTTTTTATTAATTTTAGAGTCTCTATTCTCTCTTATTGATCGTTTACGTACCAATATATTTCAATTTTCTAAATTCGTAAATAAATTTTTCTCCCATTTCATCTAGTTACTTATAATTTAGTCTATAACTATAATCTAGTTTCTTTTCTACAAATTTCCCATAATGCATGTAAAATTACCAACTTTGAACATGCATGTAAATTTTTATTCCCGCGTTGAAACTCGTGATATGCATTTGGACAAACTTTGTAATTCTCCCAAAAGCAATCACGATTTAATCGAACGTATATAAGCGAAACGTATCGTAAGAAATCATTGGCGGCACGCACGCATACATTGCGATCATCAACGATATAGGGATGGAAGCGAAACAATTGTTCGGTAACATAAACATCATTCCGAGCAGATTTGCAGCGCGTCATGATGTTTACATTCGATAACCCGTTCCATAACTTGTTATCACTTCCTCACCTAGGAACATTCCCGTTTCTATCGCGCGCGTTCATTCGATTTTTTTCATTTCTTTCATACCGACCGAGCAACATGACCGGGCGTGCATCGGTATCCGCGACAGAAAGTAACAGGAAATGCCGTACATGGGGAACGCGCGCGGTGCGCTCCGATCGTAACATGCGCGTGAAGCGTGCGCTTCAAGCTCGTGAACAGAGATAGAAGAAGAGGGAAAAAGCAGTTGCAGGAGTGAGAGAGGGTGTACGTGGCAGGGTTGGTTGGTGGAGATGGCACGGAGACCGGGATCTGCAAGCAAGGAGAGCGGCAGAGGGAGGAAGAGAGGATAGGGAAGAGAAGGGTGGTAGGGCTGGTTAAATGACGGCTAGTTGGTGGCGCGGGGATGAGCGGGCGGCTGGTGCGTGGAAGAGAGGGATGCTGGGGCGGTTCAAGCGAGATCGAGTTCACGCCAAGTGAAGTACGGCAGTTTGTGTCAGACCACGGAGCACGGAAGATGCTCCCGGTTGTTTACGAAACGGGTGGACCACCCTCGTCGCGGTGGAGGCGCCGCGCCACTATTTTTCTCGGTTCCGCGTCTGGAAACACCAGAAACGTCGCGAATTCTTCTTGGATCATCAAGCCAATATCCACTGCCACCGTGATGACCACCGCTTTGGGCCTTTTAATGGTATTGCTGCCTGCGGCGTATCCGGAGAAGATCTCCATCGGTGAGTGTGCTTCAAATAGTGTATTATCGTTGATCGAATTTCGCGAAAATGGCCACGAAAGAGGAACTAACGGGTGCAAGGAACGTTTTGCGACCAACGTTCCAACGGTTATGGAGGGTTGTTGCACTCGACTCGACCTGTATGTGTCTATTCAACGATGGATGGAAGTAAATACTCTCTGTTCTTGATGCACAGTTGCTACCGTTCGCGTGAAAGCATCTGCACATGATTCTCTTTGACGTTGTGGGAGGAGGGGGAATATGGGAGGGATCGTCGGTCGTGTAAATAACGCGTTTTTCATGAGAACGTACGATCATCGTCGTTTCTAGAAACGCGATTGCTTCGCGTTTGATACGTGTATTTATTTTTTATGAAAATACACGTAACCGTAATAAAGTAAACAATTATTCACAGGTAGAGACGAAACGGTAGTTATTGTTGTTTTAATTCGTGCTATGCTATTTCTAGAAAGGGCAAATGAAAATCTTTAATGTTACGGTAGTTTGTTATGATTTTTCGAAGAAACTATTGTGATAGAAAGTGTTTATAGAGTCGTACATTAAGAACATTCGAATATTTATAGACAACGTTGTTATAATGTATCTCATATGAGAATTGCATATCTTTAGGAATCTTAAATAATAAAAATATCAATTTAATTACTTTTTTATGCACGTGAAATAATACGAGTAATATTCGTTTCATATTAATACAAAGGATAATATAAAATCTACGCAAATATTCGTATTTCTACGATAGACGTGATTATTGCTAGTTATTTTTTTTTTCTTTCTTTCATCAAATAAAGATACACGCGCATTTTTTACGAATAGATAGGTTTGAATAAACCATCTGATAGGAAAATCGTGAATGCAAACTCGCGATAAAAGTGGCACGGGTTGTTCAATTCATCATTGATTACATTTCTGGTTGGAATAACTGCGAGCATGAAAATATTCATTATTTATCCAACCGTTCTTCGTCAAAAAAGATAACGAGAGGGAGCGTGTTTTCAAAGCTTCGGGTATTTATCCGACGTCATAACCGGCAGTCTATTTTTCCAATCTTTTGTCAATCAAAATTACCGCTTTGCTATTTGCATATCCGCGTATTCAAATTCAATAATCAAATGTTACACGCTGATTGTATACACAAATCCTTCTTGTATTCCTGTACGGTCAAATTAATTCGGTTCAATCTTTATTTCAAACTCTCCCAGACTTAATTAAAACGAGTTCAAAGTTATTTCACATAACACAGCGTCATACCTTAATATTAATTCTGCCACCAGAGTGACGCCATCACGCATATGCGCATCTGGAAGCAACAACTTTTACTCGTACAAGCGCAATTGAAAATAACGTAACGATATTAATATATCATTTATATAATCTCTTCTCTTTCTTCCCCATTTCTTACATCTTTCTTTCTCTTCATCCTATCCTCTCCATCCAACTTTCCCTCGAGAGATCTAAAATCGGTGGCGAAAATCGTCCAGCATCGTGGAAAACCGTGATATTCGGTTAAAAGCCACCGGTAAAGATTACCGTCAATGCGGCTCAACGTAACGCCAGAACGTTGTCGAGAAAAATGACTAGGGGGGAGAATGATAGAGGAAACTGTCGCGTAAGGTAAGACGGAGAGAGGACAAGAGACGAGAGATGCCGTGAGGAGAACGTGGATAACGTAACGGAGAAAGTGGGCGCGAGAGGGGGGCGGACAAATGCAGAAACAGGGGTTGGGTGGATAAGAGGGTACGAGTGAAGTGGAAAGAAGGCGAGACAGAATAAGACGAAGAATAGTGGGGAGGGTAAGAGAAAGAGAAAGGGAGGAAGAACGTTGAGCGAGGAGTGAATGATGAATGCCTATAGAAATATCGGTGTCCTTGTTCCCCGCCCGCGTAAGGTATGCAGGTAGAGAGAGAGGGAGTGAGAGAGGGGGAGAGAGAGAAGTACCGGCTAAGTCGACGAAAAGACGAGGGAGGAGGTCGTGGCATGAGAGATGGTGGTGACGAGGACGAGGATAGTTGGAAGGTTCGTTCGCCTTGGCGAGTTATACTTTCTTTGCTACTCGAAGGCCACTCTCTCTCCCTTTCTCCCTCCCTCTCTGTACTTCTTCACTACTACCACCACTCGCTCTGTATATTTTTATGCGGAATTATGCGAAAACTCGTGGCGAAAATATATATCAACGCGTCATCGGTACTTGACCTCGCTTACGATCTCTCTCTCTATCTCGCTCTTCGTTCGTCTTCGTGGATCGCGACACGAGATAATTTTCCCATTTCTGGTCGATTTCTTGTTGCACATATGAAATGGAATCTTTTTTTTTTTTTCTAAAATCGTTCTAATATCAAAATTTCGAATAAGTTTGTGTAACGATTCATGATAGTTTTCTTATTAAAAGGTCTTTGTTTTTTTTTTTTTTTATTTAATTTAGCATTTAGTAGATAATTTTTACTCATTTATTTTCTATAAAAGGATGGACAGTTGTAAAGATCCAGCTAATATCTAATATCCTGTATCTATAATCCCATTAAAGTTTAATTCTGATCATAAACTCTTCTACAACAACAATAGACTAATTGCCTTCAACGATTCCTCTGTTGTTAGCATATACATTAAGTATTTCATATAATGGTTTTAAAAAACCTTCAAAAAACCTACATTGATCTATAAAAAAATTTACTTAAACCAAAAATCTTGATGAAAAATCAATGCTCAAAATTTCAATGATTTTTCTTGTCTTTTTAAACACAATTTAAAAACAATTTACAATTCTTAGATAAAATTATATTTAAAAAATGAAAAAACGAAATTTTACAGATTGACTTAAAGTTTTTCTGTAATAAAAAAAATTATTAGTTTACGCATATATTCGTTAAATTTTCGACGTGGTCAATTTTCTTCTGGTTCTGTAAATTCTCTGAATCGAAACGTGCTTCGATATCACTGCAACCTTGTCAACATTTGAACGTTTATATATCAACAACCGATCGCTATTATTTAAAATTTCCAAGCAGCATTCGC